GCGAGGCTTCCCTCGGAAATGCGGTGTTTGCGATGCAAGCGTGACGCCCGAGTAAACAAAAAACGCAGAGCTCCGTTTTAATCGCGCTTCCAATCGCACAGGCTTGGGCGTCCCGTGGACTTTGTTGGAATTCTGTATGACTGGCCAGCGCATTTCCCAGATAAATTCTTGCGATACGATACGTGCACCTTTCTTTCTTTCTCTTTTGATCCGCTTCTCTTTCTCTCTCGCTTGGGTCCCGAGAACACACGGGGGTAAGATGTCCTGGAAAACTCCGAATGTACGGTTTTACGAACTGTAGTTGGCTCGTAACTCAGAGCTGTCGTTTGGTTTCCCAGGTAAATCTCTCCAACTTGTATAGAAGGGTTGTCTTCAGTTTTTATAATGCAGAGGCTGGATCGGCGCGAAGAAATAAATCGGAACGAAATTGCATGTTTCACAGGCTGCTTCGTTTTACATATAATTGAATTTGAAAATTTGCTTCACTATGTATATGTACACACGTATGTGCGAACCTGGCACATATCTGCCGTGTGCAAAAATTTTAATACCATGAAAACTGGGGCTGTATACATTAAAGAATATTGGAAAAGACAAAATTCAGAAATTTGTTCGAACTTTTTGCATCAACTGCCACGATAGACGGAAATCTAACATTAATTTAATTTTTGCATAATGTTGCATTATATTTGTTTGCTTTCTATGCGACGTTTTGTTCAAATCAATTATTCACCAAACATTGTTGATGAATAACACCAAGCAATTTTATAACGCTTTTATAAATATTCAAGTAATGTTATCTATATTTACTAAAAGAGAACTCTTACACTACTCCAAAGCAATATATGTATATATGTATATAATCCAACTTACTCAGACTTTTCTTGCTCAATACGTTACTCAATAAAGATCTATAGATTTCTGAATCACCTCTCCTTAACACCCGACCATTATACATACCTGATACTTAATCCTTTCACCTCGATTTCACATTACCTAAACGTTTCCACCGTTTACACCATTAATCGTAGATTTTTTTTTTTCTTCTGTTTAATCTTCTATCAATGTTGATCCATCGGAATTATCGGGCAAAACGAATTTCGAAACAAATGGATAATCAGTGAAAACTGTATGCGTTTCAGACAAACGTGCGTTCTTTCGGAAGAGTCGGCCAATCCCACGCCCTTGTTACCAAATGCTTCTGCCGCCGCTGAGATCATACCTGGTTTCCCAACTTGCCTTCGTTTCGACAACCTTACGTTCCTGGGCGATGCTAAGGATGCCGTGTTACTGCCGGATGGTGGTTTGGTGATCGACGGCGTCACGTTACCCACTGGTCAGTTTTGCGTTGAGAGGGTCAAGGAACTGAACCACGTGGCCAAAGTGTTCGCTTGTTCCGAGCACGCACCGCAAAGGTAAGTTTCGACAACTTCTGTTAACCAGAATTCACGATCACACCAGTACACTCGACTAACTCACTTGTCAACCCATTGACGACCAAGCAATAATTTCTCATAACTAAAAGAAAACTCCAAAGTACAGCGCTTTTTATAATATTTGTCACGTAAAACGATTTTTTTTTATCTGAGTTTGATCCTTTTAATCATGCCATCGAATTAAAATTGTCGAGTGAATGAAATTGAATGGTCCTCAATGAGTCTGTTTGCACCGTGTGAAATCAAACAATTAAAAAACTATAAAAATCGTAAGAAAGTGGTCTACATCGATTCCAAACTTTTGCACGACGAGAATTAAAATTGAAATTTCGAAAGTGATCAGAGTGCTGAAGGCAAGACACAGGCGCAAAGGAACGAAACATTGGTAAAAGTTGCAAAGTCGTACGTCGTTACGATCTGCATGCCGAACTCGAAATCGTTCGCCATACTTAAAGCAATAGATACGATTCTTCGACGTTAGCAACCTCAGACATTCTGCTTACGTAACCATACGCACCGATCTTTTACTATTTTTCCATTTCTTTGCTATTTTTCTCGACGCGGCAGTGCGATTCTCTCTCGTTTTTCCCGCACGCCTCCTCAAACGAGTGCAACCGGCGTTCTACTCGACGGAGCGCGTTTCTTCGTTAAACGAAATTAAAGTAAGGAACGAAACGCGGCTGTAACGCGTCTCTGAAATCCACCGGTCAAAGGGAAGCGTGATTCCAGTTCGAATTGGCAAACGTATCGACTCTTTAAGAATTGTAGGAAATTGTAGTGCAACTTGAAAGTATTAACCTTCGAATACAAATTTTATTGTGTTATATGAAAAGAAAAAAAAAAAATTCTAGTTACGAAGGACGATTTTTTTTTACATTCTGGCTAAAAATAAAATTATGCTAAAAAAAAATATTTATATATCAGTACGTGATTGTAAAGTTACGCGGCACGATGAAAGGTGAAGGTACGTGACCATTTGAAGTGCGATAATTACACTCGATTTGTGCGTCAATTTTGCACGAGCAACTTCGATAGGTGATAGGAAACTTATTGAGAGTTTGCTGTTCGATAGAATTTTTAGGATCGTGTCCATTGGAAATTAATCTGTAGATTAATTAAATTTAAATTATGCGCCTACTCTCTACAATTTTCTGTCGTTTTCTTGTAAGATATGAACGATGTGATAATCGTGCGAACGTGGATAATCATAAGAACGTGCAGAAACTTAGAGCTTTAATCGTTGTAATATCGTTATGTAACAAGTGATTGGAGCAATTTATGTTATATTACAAAATTTTGCATTCTTCGTAATTAAAGTTAAAATTAAATGAGGTTAAATATTCCAAAACTGCGTAATTTAAAATCCTAAATCGTTATGGTCCCCAATATTCAATGATACCAAGAAGCAACGTAGAAAAAAAGCCAAGGATTTACCGTACGCAGATATTGAGATATTCTTTTGTGGAGAATTCAAATTTCACTTCAGTTTTGTTAAATATTTTATTCCTTTTTTTTTCACATGAAGCCGTTTCACATGAAGCTATTAAATCGAACGTTTGGTTCTCGGAATACGAAACCTGTTCGCGTTTCAATTTGAGATCATTATTCCTTGCTTCTTGTTTGAGAGGGAGCGGCAACGCTCGCCACCACTCTCAGACAGTTGAACGATTCTTTCCAGTGTCCACTTAGGAAAAATACTTGCGAGACAGTTTCGCTCTCAAATGAACACGTACCGTTCAAGATTCGTAATCCTCCCTGCCTTCCTTTGGCAATTTAGTTTTAATCGATCGACAATCGGTCGATTCACGCTCTCGCCAAGAGAGTAAGCTGGTTGGGTGCGCGACGCCCTGCTTGAAAGCTCGAGGCACGAATCGACTTTTTGCCCGTCTCGATCTGGATTTATCGTACGACTTAATTGCATCTTCGATGGGTTTGAGAGTCGAGGTTCGGTGCTGGCCGCTTCTCTCTATGCCTCTCGACAGCTGGAGGGAAAAAGTCGGCTCCCTCACTTTCACTTTGTCTCACGAAGAATTTCTAGGTCACGTCCGTGCGCTCGCGTTCCGCCGCGTCATCCGTGAACGCGTTTCCGTTCTCCGATGATTCGTACTTGAAGGAGGACAGTATCGATGACAGGAAAGAAACAGGAAGGACACTTTGACTGTCGTCAAAGAAACAGCATAATTGAAACATCTCATTTACTTTTGCATGTATTCTGTGTGCTTGAAATTTTATTAAAAATCGCTTATTTTAATGTACAGTTTAATCATTACAGATTGTTTTTAATTTACTACTCTGTTACATTATATTTAATTTGTACGTAGTGAAATGTATACAATTTACAAGTTTGCTGTATGCATCTGTCGGAAATTTCAGAATGCAAAAGTATTACTCTCTGTAGTGTCTAACAAGGTGGAACAAATTTTTTTTGTATTAACACGCAACACGGACCAACGAAACTTTTCCTGACATACCGTAAGTCCGGTGTTTTACGATCATTTTCATCACGATTGCGTCGCTCAAACTACATTGGTCAAAGGTTTTATTCGAAAAACGTGGGTAATAAAGCTCGCCCGTCACAAGAGTGTTCTCGGGAATTGTTGTACACGGGTGTCGCTTGCAATTTGCAAAACAACACTCGAAACTCAATTAACGGGAGCGTTTACACGTGGCCGGGCTGGGAGGGTAGCTCGTTTTCGCGAACAAAATCCAGTGTGACGTTTTATTTAGAATGGAAGGTTTTGGCCGCTTGTTTGCACAATTGGTAGAGAAATCCCGGACCTAAGGAGGAGGATCGACGAAAGAGAGCGAATACTACCTAGACGTAGAAAGTGCCACAAGCATCGTGCATGTGTCGTGAGTAACGCGCGAATGCGAACAGTCGTGGTGCATGAGTAGATATTGTACGCACTGATTGCTAGGAAAACGGCCATACGGTCGTCTTCTTTTCTGACCCAACTGCCGCTAGAGGCACGATCCTCCAACAGAGAAACTTTGAACGACTTTCTAAGCTCGAGGTCCCCTCACGAAACTCGGTGAAACGATTTCACCGGGACTTTCACTGGCACGGCTGTAACAGAGAGCTGAGCGTGGATCTGCGTCGAAATTCGAGTATCGGGACGCGGATGCGCGTTTCATGGATAGGGCAGGATGTTTCCTCGAATCGAAATTGTCGACAGGAGTGTCACACAGGGGCGATCACAGTGCTTGTAATGGCACGGTAGCGAGCTCAGTGTCTGTTACGATGTAACGCAATAAAATCAACCCTCTGGCACCGCGCGCAAAAGAGTAGTATAGTCTAGTACTGTCTCTTGAACAGCGTACACGCTTGGGAGAATCATCAATTGCGTAATTGAAAGTTCGAATGCAATTGATGACTATGATTTGTAATTTAACAACCGAGAGTTTCATTTTGCACGCTTTATTTTCACTTGTTTTTTTTTTTTTCTCACACTCTGATATGTACGATGTAAAATAGAGAAAATGATAAATTACATCGATCTGTACATCATTTTTTTTTTTTTTTTTTTAATAAACGTGAGAAATGTTGTATGTTTGTTTATATCCGCATATAATACTATATTTTCCAATAGTTTTCGATATATAATATTGATATACGTCTGTGACGTATAATTTAACATACGCCGTAAATATTTCGTCTATCTCAACCATTCACCTTCGTGAATTTAGATTATAATAATTTCTCGCGTATTATTTATTTCCTTACCTATGAAAAGGTTCAATCTCAAAAATTTCGCGATTAACATTCACGAATTTAAACAAATTCGAAGAGATCGAGGGAAGAATTTGCTTCTAATTGGAGCTCTACGCGTTGTTCAATGGTCAGTCATATTCTAATCTCATGATATTGATAATAAAACGCAAGTCGAAACGAATTCATAGAGAGAGAGAGAGTGAGAGCAACAAGCAAGAAATCAAAATGGTTTCCTTGGTAAACTTTCAGGCCAATAATGCAGGCGGCCGACATCAGGTTCACCTTGTATCCCGTGGGCTTCATCATTAGCGCTGTATTCCTGGCAGCCACGTTGGCCGCCGGTTGGTTGCTGCCAGCCTCTCATCACGTTCTGCACTGGCGTTGCCAGACTCATCATGTCACCTGCCTGATGCTCGGTGATCTCCTCATGGCCATCATTCAGCTCGCCGGTGACTCCCTGCACGGCGGAAGCTGCAAGGCGCTCGGTGAGTCAAGATATTTTTTTTTCTCTCTCTCTTTTTTCACGTTTTATCGTTCTCCCTTACACTTCCGTCTGATCTGTAAATCGTGCGCCTCTTTCGTGAAATCGTTGCCTTCATCAGACAGATTACGATCGAAGTGAATTATATACACAGGTCATGATGCGCAGAAATACGTAACAATCTTCCGCTTGTGAATAACAGCCGAGAATTCAGTGTAAAGAATGATGATGGTTTGTTAATCAAAAATATTATACATTCGCATGAGCAAGCCACTCAAGTTTTTCGATTTACGATAACAATATTCTTATCAATTTACTCGTCAATGTTCTTACAATAATATGTCATTCGTCTATGGAATCTTTCGATTATTGTTTCGCTCAAATTGTTGTTAGTCAATTCTTGCAGGATTCTACAGACTTAGATCTTGAACAGATTTCTTACTTCAACTACTCCGTATCTAACGTCACTTTAAATTCCTGCAATCAAGTTCAAATTAGGAAACTATATAGAGTTGAAACGTGAATAGAAATTGAACGTTTTAGAAATAGTTTTTTAAATTTTTACTTTATATACCATCGATATTTATCGAAAATTCTAATCGATTAATAGTCCTCTTGTAATTTAGATCAATTATGTTATCGTTTTCAATTAAACGCTGCCTAGCCTACTGATACTTGGTAGCGCATCGAAAATTAGACGAGATCGCAGTGTATTCTATTAGAACATAGGACGCGCTATGTGTTCCACGTGATTTGATTCTGGGTAACAGAGGCACCGTGCAACCCTCTCGATACTCGATCCTTGAGGATAACAAAGACTCGCGAGATCACGATCATCGATCACTCGGCTGCGATCCGATGGTGCGGAACACGGCGATTTCTCGCGAAATTAATCAACGATCGGGCAACGCACGTTGCGAGCGGGAACGCGTGCACGATTTCGATCTGCTCTCCGCGGCGCAGCGGATTTTTGCCCGTTTGCAGAGGGAACAATCGCCCGTGTTCACCTCGCGACGCGCGCCAGCTATGCGAGCAAATATACACCGATGGAATTCGAGTCGGCCGGGGTGGTGAAGCTTTATTTGCCGTGTGCCAGCCCCCTTCCTCCCCCCAGCCTATTGCCCAAACTTCGGGCTAATTATTCGGATAATCGTGCTAATCCCTCGGCAAAGCTTCGTTTCTCCGTTTCGCCGGTTTCGATCGCCGAGAATCGATTGCAGCGTACACCTGCGAGCCAGCCAACGGGCAGGCGAGAGACGGGTAACAGCGACTCTCATTTGCATCTCCGCTCGTTTCCGGCATTATCGCTTTGTAGTCGGCCTTTTTCGCGTCCCCTCTCCCATCTTTCTCTCTCTCTCTCTCTCTCTCTC